GACGATTTGAAAATTATATTATTTATATTATTTTTTTGCTCTTTAAAGAACGAACATTTCAGTTTGGTTGGCTTAATGACGCCAAGAAGCCACTTGAAAAATAGAAACACAGCCCCACCTACCTACTATTTTCTGGTTTTTATGACAAAATTATAATCAGATCGTTTATAATGGAGAGAACCATTTTGTCGCGATTCGATGGTCAGGGCGACCTGTTGATTTGTTTATGGCAACTATATTTTAGTCGGAAACGCGAAAATTATGATAAGCGCCACATTGTTTCGTTTGTGAGATCCTCCGAGATGTGGAATGGTTTAAATTTGATTTATTCATTTCGGAGCGCCAGTAATAAAAATAATAATACTAATAATAATAATAATTGAATTGGATTCATAATAGATTAGTAGCTTACAGATGGTAAATTCAATATATTTTAAAGTTCATGGGCAAAAATTTTCAAGCTTCTCGATCGGAATAGTTAGACATCTATCAGCAATGACGACAAGTTCGTCTACACTGTCCTCTCATTACAATCCTATAATCACCGATGTTGCAAAGATTCTGGTATGACGTACAATTAGCGTGTGCATCAGTGCAACCACTGGATTGCGAAGCTGCTGCTGAAAAGCAAAAATGTTTTTTAGTAGAATAAATCGAATAAAATCGTTTGCTTAATTGACCATACATGAGGAAGAAATGCAATTAATTTCAGTAATATCAATTTTTTGGCAGTATTTTTTGTCTTTGCGAATCGAAATGAAAGGGAAAATAATAGGACAATGGAAATTCTCGCAACTCACTTGTGAGACTTTGAAGACAATCTCTTGAAAAACACGTCCTCTGGCACATATTTCTAATCGAATCAACATGACAAAATATCCTTAAGCTTTCGCATCCATCAATGGTGTCTGGGCATTCACCGCCAGCACCAGGCTTGTCGCAGAGACCACATGTATGTGGGCACATTTCTAATGCAATTTTGCTGAGAGCGGGCGTTCTGCACATTTCTTGCGTAAAATTATCGCATTGCCCAACTTAAAATTTCATTACGCTGTAAAAATTAATTCAATTTATCGAATTTTTAAGAATGTTTAGAAAAAGTTAAAACCATTTCTGCAGTTGAATTTCCTTGTTTTACAACATGTTGCACATATGCGAGGACATAAATGTTCGGCTAAGCGCGCATAACTTGCTTCTTACATTTTTGGCTTACTTTTCCTTTGTATTCCTTTACATTGAAATAACATATTTCTGTAGAAAATGCAACAATTCTTAGTTAATTTTTATTTAAAATTTTATTTTTATTTTCATTTTATTTATATAAAATTTACTTTTATATAAAATTACATAATTTTATTTATATAAAATTTTTATTTTCATTTTTATTTTATAGGTTTTTTTCTATTTTTTACCAAAAATTCATTTTTTCAAATATAAATATCACTTTTGAAGATCTTTGCATTTTTAAAGCTAAATGTGAGATATCCAGTTGCTTAAAATAAATTAAGTAAGCAAGGAATCGGGCTTTACGGATCAAGTTGGTTTAGAAATGTATCTTGGTCCATCAATGTGAATATATCTGGACACGCTTCTGGATTGAGATCGGTGCATAGATTTGGATTGACGGTTGGGCGTTGTGCAGGTGCTTGAGCTGCTGCAACTCCTACAACTCCTGCAACCGGTGGTGGCTGAACCACCTTGTTGCATACTTTAATCGCACTATCTCCAGCATTTACGTAAGAAATAAAAATTAAAAATGGCAAATAAATGGAATACATCATCTGTCGCTATTTTATTCAGATAAACTGTCAGTACTTAGCATTTTCAGTATTCTTTTATACTCTCTTTTCTTCCGCTTACAATATTTATTATTTAAATAGAGATGAATGCCCAAATAAATTTTTTAATTCTCAATTCTTCAAATTTGAACTCTGAAAGATATGAAAAAGAAATTATTTCAGCCATTTTTGCTCATTGCAATTTTTGTAGTTTTTTTTCATGTTTATTATCCATTTTATTATCACTTATTTTATCAGTTATCAATTTATTAACTGATTTTTAACCATAAAAATTCAATTTGTAATAAAATTCAACTATCACACATATTTTTTTATTTTTACTCCTTATCAATATATTTACACGTTGTTATAGATATATGCACTATTAAAAACCAAAAATCGTTTTAAAAGACCAAAAAGTTTTGCGGAGAATTTTTTCACACATCCGGAAAATACAAATGCAAATAAACATTACTGAATCCTAATTTGGTGAATACTTATTTTAATCGTTCTAATTTCATTTAAAAAAACATAAGATTTAAAATTATTATTTTAATGTGAAAACTATAAAATGAAAAAAAAATTGAAAATTTACGGAATGAATGACGAATGTATTTTCCAGAATTTCCAATTAAATTTAACAAATTAAGCAAATTTTTATTATATTTATAATATTTAAATTATTTATATTATTAATATAGTCAATATATTAATTTTTATAATGATAGCTTCAAATTTTTTTAAAGTCTTAATTTTCGCCGATTAGATTAATTCTTATCAGATGAAAAGAATGAAATCTCTTCTGATTCATATTTATCAAACAAGTAAAATACCACTTTTTTTACATTCATTTATATTCATTTAAATAAAATTGAATTTTCAAAAAATGAGATTAAGCATTTCAGAAAATCAAAATGCAACAGCAGCACAATCAAACTGTCGCGACGACGACCAGCAGTGTTCAGAAAATAGAAAATACTGCACAATAGAACCTTATGCAACTGTAATGAGAAGTAAATGTCGTTTAACTTGTGGCCATTGTCGGCCATAAAAAAACTTTCATACATAAAATTGTCTCATCCGAGTTTGATTTTTGTTAAAAATGGGAAATATTTCCTAAATTTTAATTAAAAGAATAAATAAATTCTCTTTCTGTAATTTGACATTCATCGCATTATCCAAGTTTTTGAAAATCTCTTACCCCATCGATTGTTTCTGTGGTTCATTCCGAAATGATATCCGAGAATGGCAAGATAACGAAAAGGATTTATTGCTCTAATATATTAAGAAGAAATTTGGTTCTTTTCTGGATTTAGGATCTATGAACCTCAAGCATTTTTCCAAACTTTTCGAAAATAAAAAATTTACTTGGAACAATCGCCAAGCCAGCCGAAGTAAAAGAAAGGAAATAAAATATTTGTTTAAAAACAATAATGGAAGGCAAGGAACGCCAAACCGACGTTACTTACAAAAAGAATTCATGCATTCATCGCTACAGAAACAGTGGTCAACATCTTCAAAAACCTCGAAGACGAATAATGACAATAAACCTGGAATGATGGGAATGATTGCGAATGCACCGATAGCCCTTAGTTGTACGCACTTAAATGGTAGAAAAAAGAATGTCTTCAATTACTTTCGGAATTCCATTAGGTTTGCTGAAACATCTTAAGCGTATCGCCAGTGGAATCTAAAGTAGCAATGAAGTGGGCTATCAGAGGGAGAATTGGTCCGATGGCTCATTGATGTTCCGTCGGTTATAAGTCAAGGCAGGACAGCATTCATTTGTTTCCATTTCACTTAATCCTTCACAATGAAAATAAATGAAAATGAAATTTCAGGATGCTCACTAAAAATTATTAAAACTGGAGATGTTTCTGATTCGTTCCACAATTTTTACATCAACAGATATTTTAATAAAATCACTAAAATCTATTTCAACTTAATTTATATTAAGTATAATTTATATTATTATTTCTTGATAATTTTTAAAATAATACATTAAAATCAAAACATAGCAAAAAATAAAAATACAGCAATTTTTATTATCCCTTACATCCCTTACTTTATCCTTTATATTGCATTCTTGTCAAGGAGTAATGAAGGAATTTGTAAAGGATGTAAGGGATAATCTCAGCCGAAATGAACGTTTGCCCACGTATCGTTAAAGAAATAATTGCTTAATGTTGAATATTTTTGGTTAAGTTAGGCTAATACGACTAGCGGTAACTGCCAGAGGTATCACTTTTACCATACAAGCATATCTGGACCATCGCCTGACCTATATTGTATTTTTACTATTTTGGAGAAGAAAATCTAAAATCTCTAATCCCCGACTCAAGCGGAACGAAACAGTCATATCAATTCCCTTCCCACCCCACTTGTAGCAAGGAAAAATTGTTCATAAGCGAGAATCCTTATTCTATTTCTTCAGTGATTCTTACTGTTTTTCCTGTTTTTTGAATTTTCTTAATATCCATTGAATAACAAAAAAAAAGCTTTTTCTGATTCAAATTATGTTTCTTTCTTTGGTTAAATAATAAAATATTTATTCGTACGTGCAAAAAATATTGCTTTATCACTATAACCAATTTCGCTTTCTCGCTTCAGTTTCCCATAAATAATTTTACAAACGATTCCAATCTGAGATTTGCCTCTTATATTTAAGTCTGGAAAAAATAATGAAATCATCGACAGCTGAAGATTCCACCCTCATTATAAAACTTTTTACCTTCTCAATTTTATTTGTGAACGCAGTTGGAAAATTTATGGTTAAATGAGCAAAAATGAATCTAAAGAATCTAAAAGAATCCGTGAAAAACTGCATGATTTGAGGAAATAAATAGTTTTTGCTTGTAATTCTTAGATATTTTATAATATATGAACTTTAAATTATATAAAAATAACTAATATTTCCGATAAAAAAAAATATTAAATAAATCTCTGATAACAGCAACAAATATGGAAATTTTCCTGTTGGAGATGGTGTAATATTTTAATCAATTTAGAGGGAAATGAAAAAAAAAATAGTTCGTGAGCAATGAAAAACAATTTTGCGGGTCGCTTCGAACTAATACTTGCAGATGAACAAATAATTTTACTAGCAAATATAATGGATTTTACCATAGTAATTTATCAAAACTTTCCAAAAAAGAAAGTGAAATGAATATAAAATTATATGCGACGCGCAAATACTTCATTCTAAAAGCTTTTTTTCCCAAAATGCTGTTGTATTTTTATTTCTACATTTTCCTCATTCATGGCGTGAAAAGTGGAGATGTTGCGATAGCAAACTGCAATAAAGCGGTAGGACAGTTCCAACGACCAACTGTTGATCCAAGTCTTTGTGCACATATCGATTTACCCGCTTGCGCTGCAATATTTCCATATGATAATGCTAATGCTGGTGCAACAATCGCATCTCACTTCAATCCGTAAAAATTTGTACTTCTCATATATTCCAATCTGTTTTTTTAATATGCGAAAAATAATTTTTATAATTATAATTATTAACAGTAATTAGCAATAACAATAATACAATAATAAAATAATTATAGTAGTTTATCTTAGTAATAATTCTTATAAATTTAGAGGCACATCTTACCTGATACCCGAAACATGCACACAAGTTCTCAAAGATTTTGCAGAAAAGAATTGCCCGAGTCGTTGCGCATTCTGCTGTAAAGCAAAGCAGTTCAATTGTGCTAATGGTTAGTAAATTCGTTGAATTAGTTCAACGGTTAGAGAGGTTTTTTATTTGACTTTCATTACAGATCCATTCGCAGGCAATCACTGTGAGGCTTTTACAGTGGAGATGTGCAGGAATTCGGCTCTCCGGACAATAGCATTAAGGAGTTGTCCCATGAAATGTGGACTTTGTGATCAACCAGGAGCAGGTGGCACCTGCCCAAACACATTTGACGATGCAGTTTGCACAGCGCTAGCACCGACGATTTGTCTCGATGATAAAGCGAAGAATTCTTGTCAAAAAACATGTGGATTAAGGACTTGCTTAGGTAAATTTAACATTAAGTATGGTTTTGGCCAATGGACCAAATCTGCAGTGAAAAACTATTAAATTATTAAATTACTATTAAATTATTTGAACTGCCATTTGTTTTTATATATAACTTATTATTCTGAATACTCGGTAAGAATACCGTAGTAAATTGTCGCTGATGATAAGCATTTCAGAAAATCAAAATGCAACAGCAGCACAATCAAACTGTCGCGACGACGACCAGCAATGTTCAGAAAATAGAAAATACTGCACCATAGAACCTTATGCAACTGTAATGAGAAGTAAATGCCGTTTAACTTGTGGCCATTGTCAGTCATAAAGAATTATTTTAGTGAATGAAACACTAATTATTTTATGAAATCCCAGATTTGTGGTATAAAAATGAATTGCAATGAATGATAAAATAAGTCTAAAATAGTGTAATTCAAAAATTCATTCAATTCATTGCCATCTAATAAAGTATCTTTTCGTTAAGCAATCTCACCTCATAGAATTTCAAAATTCAATCGCACAAATGCATGGCAGCCATTGATAATTCGTATTTTAAGGTACATATATATGGGAAATCAGATAGAGTGCACTAAGAATTATTCTTATTTGGAAGATGCGAATTTTCATTGATACTTTAAAGAATTGTTTCATCCCTATTTTATTTTTTATTTTTACAATAATTTCCATTCTGAGAATACCTTATTTAGGTGCTTCAGCAGTTTACTCGGCAATATTTATTTAAAAAAAGTACTCACAGAATTAAACCCGTACAAAATTCATATATATTAATTTTTACAAAAAACATANAGTTTATCTTAGTAATAATTCTTATAAATTTAGAGGCACATCTTACCTGATACCCGAAACATGCACACAAGTTCTCAAAGATTTTGCAGAAAAGAATTGCCCGAGTCGTTGCGCATTCTGCTGTAAAGCAAAGCAGTTCAATTGTGCTAATGGTTAGTAAATTCGTTGAATTAGTTCAACGGTTAGAGAGGTTTTTTATTTGACTTTCATTACAGATCCATTCGCAGGCAATCACTGTGAGGCTTTTACAGTGGAGATGTGCAGGAATTCGGCTCTCCGGACAATAGCATTAAGGAGTTGCCCCATGAAATGTGGACTTTGTGATCAACCAGGAGCAGGTGGCACCTGCCCAAACACATTTGACGATGCAGTTTGCACAGCGCTAGCACCGACGATTTGTCTCGATGATAAAGCGAAGAATTCTTGTCAAAAAACATGTGGATTAAGGACTTGCTTAGGTAAATTTAACTTTACTTAAGTATGGTTTTGGCCAATGGACCAAATCTGCAGTGAAAAACTATTAAATTATTAAATTACTATTAAATTATTTGAACTGCCATTTGTTTTTATATATAACTTATTATTCTGAATACTCGGTAAGAATACCGTAGTAAATTGTCGCTGATGATAAGCATTTCAGAAAATCAAAATGCAACAGCAGCACAATCAAACTGTCGCGACGACGACCAGCAATGTTCAGAAAATAGAAAATACTGCACCATAGAACCTTATGCAACTGTAATGAGAAGCAAATGCCGTTTAACTTGCGGCCATTGTCAGCCATAAAGAAACTTCCTACATGAAATTGTCTCGACCCTTGATTTGTGTTAAAATGGGAAAAATTTCCCAAATGTTCAGTAAATTTGAAATAAATTTTCTTCTGTAATATGGCTTCGACATCATCATTCATGTTTCTGGAAACATATCGATTAGCTTTCTGGTTCTTTGCGAAGCGATATTCAAGAATCGCAAAATAAAGTCTTAATAGGATTCTAATACATTAACAAGAAATTTGGCTTTTTCCTGGACTTAGATTCTACGAGTCTCAACCATTTTTGCCCATTTCTTTCAAATTAATATATATTTACCTATCGCTCTAAAAAGCTAAATAATCCGTCTAGGTTTCCATCTTTGGCTCTCAAGCTCAACCAAAAATCAACATTGTTCTCTTTGACATGTATCTTTTATGATGAAATATTTAGAAGAATAAAGAATAAACCACATTAAAATGGATGATAATAAATAACCGATAATAAAAGTTCCATCTTGGACCCAAGTCTAAGTCAAAAAAAAATAAGAGGAAAAAGAGATAAAACATTTGTTCAAAAACAATAATGGAAGGTAAGGAGGGATATGTGAGCGCCATTCCAAAAACTACCGTTCGATTAGCCTTTATTACCCTCAAATCAGCATAAATTTTGCGAAACTCTTTTGCTCTTGCATATCAGACGCTGATAAGAATGCGCTTCACATAAATTCGTCAGTCATAGAGGAAATATCGAATTATAAGTATCCACTCATCCCCATATATTTCTTGTGATGATAGGTAAAATACTTCAGAGGTATATTCTCCCATCTGGGGAAACCTCACTGGATTCGCCATGAAATCTGCCTGTAGTAATCTTGCTAGAAGGCCGCAAAACATGGTAATATTAATAATAATACTATAATATTAAGTAATATTTACATATTACTCGAATAACTATGACGAAGCCATATTATAGAAAGAAATTTTTAAAATATATTTTATTTTCAATAAAAATGAAATGAAATTTTTATGTATACAAAATATATGCAATTTTCTGCAATTCAGCGTATAAAATTCATCAAATGACATTTGCTTATCAGCGAGGTTAAACTTTTCATCTCGACTAAATTTATCATATTTTCCTTTTTTTAAATATTAAGTGTCAATTTTTAAATGTCAATGTCAAAGGAGCGAGTTTGCTGATTGATTTACTACTCAGCAAGGCTTAGTATATTTCAAAAACTTTGTTCTACTAGCTCATTTGAATGCCTTCATCGACTCGTAAGAGAAGTTATCTTCGCCAAGGAACCATCCATGGACAGAATAATAAGTAGGATAAAGACGACTTCTCTCTCTGATAATGATAAGAAGTCAGTTAATATAGTCATTATCAATTTAAAAATGAATAAAAAAAATGGTTTGATGAATAATGAAAAATAATTCTGTGTACGAATAGGTAGTTGCAGATGAACAAATATTTTTACATAATGGATTTAACTGCAGTAATCTATTCACACACCTCCCAAAAAATAGGTATAAAAATATGCGATGCACAAATATTTTAATCTGAAATTTTTTTTCCCGATATGCTGTTGTATTTTTGTTTCTTCGTTTTCCTCGTCTATGGCGCAAGAAGTGGCGACGACAAGGCGATAGAAAACTGCAATATACAAGTGGGACAGCATCAGCGACCAACTGTCGATCCAAGTCGTTGTGCACACATCGATTCACCTGCTTGTACTGCAATATTTCCATACCATCCGCCCAACAATGCTGGTGCAACGATCGCGACTCACTTCAATCCGTAGGAATTGGATTTTTTTTTCTGCAATCCGTTCTTTATAAATATTCCAATCCAATGCGCACTTTTTATTTTACGAAAAAAAGTTTCAGAGTGTAAAATAAAAAATAAATAAATTTATCTTAGTGTATAATGTTTCATAGCAGTTTAAAAACGAGGATTACAAAATACCAGAAAAATGCACCGATGTTGCTCTCAAAACTTTTGCAGAAAAAAACTGCCCAAGTCATTGCGCATTCTGCTGTAAAGCAAAACAATTCAACTGTGCTATTGGTGAAAAAATTCTTTTAACGCTTCTAAAATTATAAATTTTTATTAATATTTCAGTGGTATGAAAAGAAAAACGCCTCCTTTATCCATTAAAGATCCATCAGGGTGATGCTGCCGACTCATCTGTCATTCTATCGCTAAGGGTCTCTCTGCCATATTTGTCCAGTGCGACAAGACAGCTGAGCGAGTTTAACTAATATTGGACTCTTAAAAAGAGGACTCTAAAACAAAAAATTACAGATCCATCAGCGGGCAATCACTGTGATGCTTTCACATTGGAGATGTGTAGAAATGCGGCTCTCAATACAATAGCATTAATGAGGTGCCCAATGAGATGCGGGCTTTGTGACCGACCAGGAGCAGGTGGCATCTGCCCAAACACATTAGACGATGCAGTTTGTACAGCGCTAGCACCGATGATTTGCCTCGATGAGAAAGCGAAGAATTCTTGTCAAAAAACATGCGGATTAAGAACTTGCCTAGGTTTAAGAATTTAACAAAACTTATGTATGATTTTGGACCAAATTATGGACCAAATCTGCTATAAAAAAGTATTAAATTAATTGAACTGCCAATTGTTTTCATATATAACTTATTATTCCCATACTCGATAAAAATATAATAATAAATTATCGCTAACGATTTAGCATTTCAGAAAATCAAAATGCAACAGCAGCACAATCAAATTGTCGCGACGACGACCAGCAATGTTCAGAAAATAGAAAATACTGCACAATAGAACCTTATGCAACTGTAATGAGAGGTAAATGCCGTTTAACTTGTGGCCATTGTCAGCCATAAAGAGCTTTCAAACGGCAATATTGTCTCGTCAGACTTTGATTCGCGCCAAATTGTGAAAAACTTTTATTAATTTATTAATAAAAGATTTAAATAAAACTTTTTACAATATATAATTTGAATTATTGGAAATAATTTACTTCAACGATTAGTTCCCTGGTTTCATCTAAATATTTTTCAAATGAAATTAACAGATGTTACAGAAATTATATCGCAAAAATATTTATTCCAATAATTTTTAAAAGAATTATAAATATTTGTTTTAATTCCATTAATATTTTCTTAGGAAACGGAAAACGAATCGAAGACGAACAATTCGATAATCATTCCAATATGAATGAAAAAAATTAAATAAAAATTATAAGAACTTAAATAAATAAAATTTAATAAGAATAGAATAAAGCAAATAAAACAAGAAAAAAATAAAATTAATAAAATAAAAAATTAATAAATAAAATAAGAAAAAAAATTTAATAAGAAATTTCAAAAAGAAATTTTTATTGCTATGAAATTCATCTTTAAATGATAAAATTGTGATGGTAATTGTAATTTTAAATCAAAATATACTAAAAATTCACAAATTTTAAACAAATTTTTTTCAAACTTTCAAATTTAACCCACGCAAATTTAATTTCTTTTTAAAGTTTTTGGCTTAAAAATAAAATAATAATGCAGAAACTAATAAAGTTGTAAAAAAAATATTGGTGATATTTTTAGAAAAGCAAAAAAGTAATTGAAGTTTCAACCTCTTAAAATTTTTTTAAAATTGACTTTGGGTATTCGGCATGCATTTTTGTGCATGAGTGGCGCATCGGATCTGCAGTGGTTCCTTTACTATATAAGCCAAGCTGTTTGAATTCCACCAAAATTATTAGTGGTATTTACGTATTTTAGGTTGAAAATATTGTGAAGTTACCTATGAAATTACCCTCAGCTAAAGGAATCCGAGGTCTATTTATTCCATTTTCTATAATTATACAAGAGCGAGTTCATACAATAGAAACAAAATTACGCAATAGCGAAAGGCTAGTACCAGATCGAATTTCTAAATTTATTCGTATGAAAAGCTCGAACAAGAACAATTTTTAAGTTTTCTGTAGGCATAGGGATAGTAGGATGCGCCTTAATCAAAAAGGATTTAGACCAGGATTCGGCTATGCTGACCAGATATTAGCGTTAGGGTGTTGAAACCTCGCTTCTAATATCTCCAACTTATCACTGCATGTACTTCGCATTTAATTCAATTGATGTAATTGCGTTTTGCAAGGTGATGGAACGTAACAGTGTTCCAGAGAAGATCATTCGACTCATACGTATTTTATCAGCTTATCGGTACGGATCATAAGATATATCCTATCTAAGATATATCCTATATATCAGCTAACTGGTCTCACACGATTGCATTCATTCTCGATTGAATACCAGCTGCATTAAAAATATCGCCACAAAACATCGTTTATGTTAATTTTGCTCTTCCACTAGAGAACAATAGAAAAATTTATGCGCTACCTAATATAGCATAGAAGTAAATGGAATACTCGCTCACGGTAATAAAAGAATTGCTTAAATTTCACTAATATTGGCACTGAAAGTTCTTAATATTTATTTATTTATTTATTGAAAACCAGCCAAGCACAAACGCCATGTGCTTATATTAATAACAACAGTTAAAATAACAAATAAGTATTAATTAAAGCAAAAAAAATAATAAAAGGTTTTCTAAGTAGATTTAGGATTTCAGGTATGGGTTCGGATCAAGCTTGTGGACTGCTTTACCTTTTAGCTTGCTGAACTAATGCAACGATCATTTTCTTCGGCTACTATATTATGAACCGAAAAAGAATAAAAATGATTGAAAGAAAATTGACATGTTTTTATTCAAATATATTCAATGTATCCAGGTTTAATAAATGTTCCAGGTATAAATAAAGAAACTTCAAATTTATGAAATCAAATTGCTTTGTAATAAATTATTATAAACTAGCAAAATTGGATAAGCATGATTTTGATTGGTCAAAACGAAGTCAATAAAGTCGATTTCGTATTCTTTCTTTTATCATTTATCATTCATTTATCACTGAAAAAGCCGTTTATTTATCACCACACATCTTATTTTTATAATTTGTTGCCTATTAAAATTTTTTAATAACATAAAACATAGAATCAATTTTTTGTTCTTTGATTGATTTATTAACCTCAGTGTTTTAAATTGTATCTCTCCTTCGCATATATCTCATTAGACCAAATATGGTTTTTTGTGATAATTTAATAATTGAAATCTTAAATTTTTTGGATTTTTTTAGTAATTAGAATAGATTCAATCTCATCATAAGTTCAATAAATTTAAATTCATTAGTAATGCATTTAACAATATTAATAATAATATCATTTGGATTTATGATATTTAATATTTAAAAAACTGGGAATAGATTCAGTGGGTTGTTGCTCAATTAGAAGCGCTGAGGTTCTGTTCCCCCAGGAGTAAACATGTTCAAAAATCAGAGCAATTCACATACACCTCTATCACCAAAGAGATTCCCCGGTATATTTGCTCGGTGTGACAGGCCAGCGGAATGAATTTAACAGGTAATGGTGAGAATTCTTAAAACAAAAAATAGACAGAAAATTAGTTGGAATTTTTGCGAGAATATCTTATATAAGTCATTACAGGTTCGTCTATATTGCGTTCTCAAATTGCACAGCCGTTAGTTTTGCAAAGATTTCGATGTTACGTACAATTAACGTCATTACAACCATTGATTAAAAATCAAATTCGTTTTTCCAGCAGGTAAATCGAGAACAGCGTTCCCATGTATATTGACAAGCTATGAACATTTATAACAGTGATTTATTTATTATTACTTTTGGTTAATCGAAGTGTTAAAAAGTATTAAAAAGTGTACACGGATTTAATTAAACTATTTAATTAAATTAATTAAACTATTTAATTATATATTTAATAAATATTACATTTAAAAAATTATATAATTAATAAATAATTTAATTAAATTTGTGTTTTCTATATATTTCAAATTTATTAAATTCATTTCGCAATTGAATTTTTTTCTTAATATTTTTAGATTGTATTTCTTTATACTGAAGTAATAAAAAAATTAAACCAATAATTTTTATTTTATATACATCATCTTTTTCAAATTTTAAAAAATTTTAAAACAGTGGAAATCTGTTCGAATTTTCAAAATTGGAAATCACCATTTCCAATTTTTGTTGAAAAAACTCCACGCACCATAATCTAAATTGTCGAAACATTATTAAGGAAATGTCGCTTAAATGTAACGACAAAATAGCGACAACGCTCAAATAAATCGACACATGAACGAGAAAAAACATATACCATTACCAATTGCATTTTCAAGCATTTTCAACTACATTGTTTTATTATATTTTTTATTCGTTCTAACATTTCTAACATAACATATGTTCCCAACATTTTTCGTACTTTTAGTTATGTTGCACCTGTACAAAAATCCCAGTGATGCTGGCGATTCACCTGTTTTTCTATCCCCGAGGGACTCCCTGGCATATTTGTCCAATGTGACAAACCAGCTAGTTTAACCAGTAATGGTGAAAAAAATCCAAGGACAGAATAGCCAATATCCGTTATGAATAAAAGGCTTATTGGATTTGGTCGTTGCCCATTGACAGGTCTAATCATAGTTAAAAATGACTTTAATCTGGAATGCAAAAATTATCAAAAACTGTTACAAGCAATATTTCGTAACGATTAGTTCCATTATATTACATTAACTGGTACCGTCATTTTAATCGCTAATATAATTCCCTTAAAATTAAGGAAACTGTGGTTTGTATTCTTCTTTTTCTTCTTAAGATTCCTCACCATTGCTGGTTAAACTCGCTCCACTGGCTTTCGCATTAAGCAATATGGCGATAGAAGTACAGGTGAGTCGCCAGCATCACCTGGATTTTTGAACAGGTTTGCTCCTCTTGGGAATCGAACAGCAGCTGCTCCAAATTGAGCAACAACCCACTGAGCCATCCTATCCCCGGTTCGTAATCTTTATACGGAACTAAACGCAATCACACGCAATTATTTATGCGAAACACTTATTTTCACAATATAAATTGTAATAAATCGCCGTTCATTTGAAATATAAAAAAGTTTTCAATGAATAATATAAATAATAAGTGAATTTTTAATATTATTTATTTAATATTATTTATTATTTAATCATAAAAATAATAGCAATATTATTTGTAATAATACTTTTTAGAAAAGAATAAAATTTTTGGAAAATTTGCAACAGTAGATCAGCAATGACCACAGGTTCGCCTGCATTGTCTTCTCATCACACTTCCATAATCACCAATGTTGCAAAGGTTCCGATATAACGTGCAGTTGGCGTGTGCATCAGTGCAACCACTGGATTGCGAAGCTGCTGCTGAAAAACAAAAACGGTTTTCTAGTAGAATGAATCGACATGAAGAAGAAGAAGAAATGCAATTAATTTCAGTAATATCAATTTTTTGGCAGTATTTTGTCTTTGTGAATCTAAATGAAAGGGAAAATAATAGGACAATGGAAATTCTCGCAACTCACTTGTGAGATTTTGAAGACAATCTCTTGAAAAACACGTCCTCTGGCACATATTTCTAATCGAATCAACATGACAAAATCCCCTCAAGCTTTCGCATCCATCAATGGTGTCTGGACATTCATCGCCAGCACCAGGCTTGTCGCAGAGACCGCATGTATGTGGGCACATTTCTAATGCAATTTTGCTAAGAGCGGGCGTTCTGCACATTTCTTGCGTAAAATTATCGCATTGTCCAACTGAAAATTTCATTACGCTATAATAATTAATTCAACTTATTGAATTTTTAAGAATATTTAGAAAAAGTTAAAACCATTTCTGCAGTTGAACTTTCTTGTTTTGCAGCATGTCGCACATGCGCGAGGACATAATTGTTCGGCTAAGCGCATATAATTTGCATTTTGGCAATTTTCGCTTACTTTATAATCCGCTCCACTGAAATAATTCCATAGGAAAATATTTAAAAAAATAATTTATATTATTATTTTTATTTATTTTATTATTAATTTTTTATCTATGATAATGTATTATAATGAAATATGGATTCTATCCAGTGAAATTTTGAAATTTATACGAAGGATTCAAATGATAATTTTAATAAATTTCATAAAATACGGATTAAGCTGGTCTGGAATTATTCGCTCTGGAGCATTCAATTTAAATATCTCTGAGCATGCTGGGTCCAAATCGACACACAGGTTTGGATTGATAGTTGGACGTTGCACAGCTGGCTGTCTTGCTTGAGCCGGTAAAACAGGTTTGTTGCATACATTAATTGTTTGGTCATCCCCTGCATTCACACATAAAATAAAAAATACGAGAAACAAATAAATAAAATGCATGGTAAGCCGTACTTATGACTAATAATAATCAGTTTAGCACTTTCATTAACCATTTTATAGCCCATTTTGTTTGCTTTCACATGAAATTTTCATTAATCAAACTGTGATAATCAAATTTCTCAATTATTTCCTTAATTCTTTGAAAAATTAAAAAATTAAAAAGAATTATCTATTATTATTTGTTATTAAAAATATTTTTCATTTTCGCTTTTTTTTGTCCTTATCATTTTTATCATTTGTCATTTGCTATAGTTTTTCAGCTTGTTGCTTAAAAATTGAATTGTCAAAAATTAAAAATTTGCTACAGTTTTCAAAAATGTTTGCGCAAAGAACTTCTAATTGTTTTCATTTTAGAAAAGACTTTTTAAAAATGCGGATAACTGCAAAATTTCAACTCGCACTTTAATCGAAGATGGGGTTTTCAATATGGGAATGAGTCCCCGCCGTTCTGCTGTTGAATTCCAATACCGCAATTATTTTTTGTTTATGAATTTCATCAAATATAATTATTAAATATGTGGTTACTAATTTTCATATTCTTACCATAATTATAATCATTACTACAATATTTTTTTTTAATTATTTATTATTGCAGTTATTATAATATTTATGAAATGCTTCCTGGAATGATGCAATGTTTTTGCCACAGTTTGGCAGATTAATGCACTATTAAAAATCATAAATCATCTGAAGAATGCCGGAAGATATCTCATAGAATTCTTTTCAGTTTCCGGGATTCATCAAAATATAAATAATATAATTAAATTGCTTTTATGATTAAATGCTGAAATTTTCCTGAAATTTTTAAGCAATTTTTAAATATTTTAATTAATTCTTCGTTAAAGTGAGAAGTATAAAAATGCGCTCATTTTATAACCGATGTCGGATTCCAGAAATATTGAGTGAAATGATCCAAGTTGGAGAAGGAAATAGGCAACCTTGCAGCCGTAATAGCAGTATTTGCCGATTTCACTACTACAGACCTTAGTATCTTTCCGTAATTCCATTTTGTTATAATCTTTTTAGGAGAATAAAATTAAAAATCTGATTTGTATATGCAAACGTTTTTATACCTATGAATTTTCTAAACACTCCTGTATCAATGAAATTGATAAGAGTGTGGTTGGTACTCCTCCTTTCTGATTATTAGCTTGGCTTAAAGAAATTTCTCCTACGATGCTTTCATGCTTTCGCGATCAGACGCATTTTTAGGAAGCATTTTCAATTTTTATTCTATCAGTGCGGTTGTTTTTCAATAAAGGAATGAAATTTTTTCGAAAATGCTGGTTGAAGCCAGCTTTTCATGCTGAACAATTTGAACGCTAAATTATTTATTACATTATTTATGATATTTTCTTACTCTTTAAACGAATATTTCAGTTTGGCTGGCTTATCGAGATGCCAAAGGGCCACTTGAAAAACAAAAGCACAGATGCCCCGCCTAGTAGAAGGAAGTACCATTGGATTATCGAAATACATGCTTTTGATTCATGGATAGTCTAGTTATTTTGCATCTTGCAATGTGGGTTATTATAGATTGTGTTTGCATAGATTTCTGTTGTTAAGGTATTTGAAACAATAATGTACTGGTATTTCGAATTTGCGGAAAAAATTAGCTGATTTCGAGAAGATCAACTATCATTATTATATCATTAAATATCACTTATTTTATAAATATTTTTTAGATTTTAGATTTTAAGATTTAAATTATAGACTATGAAAAAATTGAATATTCTTAGATCAATAACAATCATTTCAATTTTTTAAACAGTTTTTACAGTTTTTTTGGTTTTCATGATAAAAAATATGATCAGATCATTTATTATGGAGAAAATCACATTCTCAATATTCGACTGTGAGTACATCGATTTATTGATGATAAATTACAGTTGAAAAAAGGAAAATAATTATTATTTTTATTATTTTATATGCGACCTCTTGATGAATAAATTGGTCATATAATTTAATATATGCACTTTCTGTTTTGTCATCCAAGAATTCGAATTATACCAACAATCGACTCATACTTCTCTCACCAAACAAGTAAAATTCGCGACATATGTGCTAACAATAAATACCTGATGCCCCACAGTTATGTGATAACCACTATAAGGAGGCAATGAAGAATGCAATATCACCACAAGTATCACCAAAGAATAAAGCAAATCCAGAAGAGTTAGCTCAAAGAGAAAGACAATTTGGCCTATGTTTTTCATCGATAATATCAATTATATATTGTATATCACAATAATTATCAGTTATTTATTGCATATATATAATAATATAATTTAATAATATTTAACAAATAAGGAGAATTGCGGCTTAACAATAAGAAAAGGCTCACAGTGATAATAATAAGATTGAATAATTCAACACATTGTATAGTTATCAGGCAGAAAATGGATTAAGAAAGCGCAATTTTTACATTTATTAGCAATGGCGACAAGTTCGTCTGCACTGTCTTCTCATTACAATTCCATAATCACCGATGTTGCAAAGGTTTTGATATAACGTACAGTTAGCGCGTGCATCAGTGCAACCACTGGATTGCGAAGCTGCTGCTGGAAAGCAAAAAAGTTTTTTAGTAGAATAAATCGAATAAAATCGTTTGCTTAATTGACCATACATGAGGAACAAATGCAATTAATTTCAGTAATATCAATTTTTTGGCAGTATTTTTTGTCTTTGCGAATCGAAATGAAAGGGAAAATAATAGGACAATGGAAATTCTCGCAACTCACTTGTGAGATTTTGAAGACAATCTCTTGAAAAACACGTCCTCTGGCACATATTTCTAATCGAATCAACATGACAAAATATCCTTAAGCTTTCGCATCCATCAATGGTGTCTGGACATTCACCGCCAGCACCAGGCTTGTCGCAGAGACCG